AGGGAAATGCATATGACGTAGAATGTATCGGTCTTTCTGTCACAGATTTCCGGTTTCATCTGGGCCAATATCGAGCCGGCCGACCGACCGACCGACCGACCAGCCGACCGACCGATCGACCGTGTACCAGCAACTTCGCAGCTTACGCAGTTTCCAACTTTGCGTTTGTTCTTTGCTGGCACAGTTACCTTTCCGGTTCCACTTCGCAATATAGTTCAAGTGTCGGAATCAATGAGATTTGAACGAAAAATCGCTTTAGCGAAACGGGGGGATAAAGTCGAAATTGTCGCTGACTCAAACGCAGGAAAATGCCTTTTTATGAGCTCGCTGTTTTAAGTTTTAACAATGATACCACGGCCGATTAATCATTATTCTGAGCTTTACCGAAACGCGGCCTGCCCCTGCGTCAATAAACAGATTAAAAATTTTATCGCGCGAGGAAAGTTTAATTGACCGTCGCTTAATTAATCCTCTCCACGAAGGATGTATTCACACCCCGAGCGGCCTTTGAGCACACCCCGCTAACCTTCACCAACCTCGTAAACGGGAAGGTTAAAGATATCTTTTATACGTCATATCGTCACACAATGACGTCAGTTCAACCTTACGTTTTTAGTCCAGTTTTACGACACGTGTCACACGGAGTAGCTTGCATCTCGTTACGTAAAAGGACCCTTGCGTCACACTTGTTGTCTTTTTTACTAACGTCATCAATGAGAGTTTGATTCAATTTACGCATATTAAAAAAATGACGTTGGCAAAATCCGGAAATCCGGTTCCCCTCCCCCGCCCCCTCTCCCGTTCGAGAAAACCGCGCGGATACAAGGAGATTTCCTTGCAAATCTCGAAATCGAAGTCCGTAAATTAGATACTCGCTAATAACGATGTTTCATACCGGCTTCAATTATCTCATTTAATTACCTATGACACATACAGCGTAAGCTCTCGCCGCCATTGTCATCGTCACACACGACGGCACGTTTATTTGCAAGTAAAAATAAATCCGCTAGTGCGGGACGCGCGCCCATTGACTTTCATCCTTTACTTCTAATATTCCAGATAGTACTCCATTTCCCGTATCTGGCGTGTTTATTCTGAGTGTTAAACTGGAGGAGGGATTTTGTTTTTGTTTGCACACAATTCCGCGGCGATACCGCGGATCGATACGCACCACTTTCTCTACGTCAATCTCCGCGATATTTCCATCTCGCTTTTGACATTGAATTCAAGCTCACCGCGTTACCGAGGAAACAATAGACGAAGTCACTCTACAGGAGCGAGCGGTGTGGACAAACGCCTAGATACGCGCGGTCCAAAACAAGGAGTAATAACTCCGTTTAGAACTGTCAACCGCGATGTCTCTCTCGCAGATAAATTACTGATAAATTCATTTCAACTGAAACGAACGATGATGAATTTAAACGAGATACTTAAATCTCTAGCGTAATTTCTGAAAATATAATTTAATAGCGTTTCACAAAATAGCTCTCCGTGTCAGACGATGCTGCGATATTGAAAGGAGTTTTAAAATTTAAATTATTATCTCTCGCATCGAGTCGGAACATCGAAGGATATTAAGCCACTTCTCGGTCTCTCATTACTGCACGATTCTAGAATAATGTCCCGGTGCGATCTCACTTTTCCCAACAATTACCGCGGGTCGCGCAGCGTCATTGTCGCTTCCCGGTGTTCGTTTTTTTCCTGTTTTTTTCCGAACGGCGCGTTTCATCGCCGCTGCCTCCGGTCGCCTCTTTCCGCGCGGCCCACGAAATATCATCGTAAAGTGTACCGGGGAACACAACCAGCCGTATCTCCCGTTTTGAAACGCTCGCGTGGCTTACAAAAGGCCGCCGCCGTGGAAAACCGGTACGGAAAATGTCACGGCCTTGCCTCCCGACGCGGCGCGATCGACCCTGCGCCGGCGGTCGTATCAGCAACTTTGTCGCAAAACAAATTGGCGAACACGGAAGCCAGAGGCCGGCGAAATTCAACGATTGGATTTCGCACGTTCGGTGTGTGGCCCGACACTCGATACTCGGCGGAACAACATCGACGGACGCCCGGATGCGGAAATGGCATCGGCAGCGCGAAACGCGCTGAACGGCGGCGAATGCCTGGCGATGGAAATTTTAGATTATTTTTAAGTGAACGTAATACGCGCGCGGGTATACGAGGCAGCATCTGCGGTGCAATTTACACGCGTGCAACGGTGTTAGCGAAGCATATCGCCGGAAAGGCCAGCTGCTCTCTTCCCCTCCGAGAGTTCCGGATCGGTATTAAGCGTCATTTTTCAAATGTTATGTATACGCGAATATCGATATACAACGGAGCACATAGGCTAACGGTGATCGAGCTCATGGTTACATCTGTTGCAAATGTATCGTTGCTCGTTGCGAGACTTTTCCGCATTTTCTAGTAAGGAACTAAACATCCGCTCCAGTTTCTGCCTCCCACACGGAAGGAATATTTCGCTGAAGTTATCTAGAAATTCGGCTAAACAAAAGTCTGAAAATAAACTTTGTTAAAATCCGTTAAAATTATGTAGGACGTTCAAGTTGATTGCTAGAATATCAAACATTTTTTATAACATTATTATCACGCTTCAGCGTTTTATATAATAATTTTAATGAATCAACAAAATTATTCTGTATTCAAGTCTGTATCCGGTTAAATTTTTAGATATTTCAAGCAAAGCTATTCTTTCCGTGCAACCAATGCTAGATTAATATTCCTACGGACAAATAAAAAATTAATACTTGCGTTTGTAATCTTTGCTTCCTAACAATC